CGGAAGCTCACAAAGGCAGCGTACTACATTTTGATCATTGCCCCCGGGCCGTTGATTGCATTCACCACACACTTTTCTTCAGTTGCTTTGTATGCACTGAAATTTTCTAATATTATCAAGGGCTGATATCTTCAGACATTGTTCTGAAGTGTTCCAGTGTTCTTCTCTATCGAGTATTTTTACTTCATTTCACAGATATTGCTGACCACACTTTCCCTCCATTGCCGGCCCTTTAATCACGGATTTCCATGTTCCTCCAGCCTTACTTTTACCCCTTTAGTTTTGTCTTACATAAAATACATTTAACAGATCTTTACAGCGAAGAAAATGCGACAACAAAATCTGAAGATCACTTCCCAAAACTAAACAGTATATTAAGAAACGGGAAAATCTCGTTAGAAACAAGGAAACGACTGCTGAACATTGCCTAAACAGTAGCTGCGTTTTGTCTTGAAAGAATTTAATTCCCAGAATAGCCCTGCTATGGAAAATCTTTTTAGTTGTTCACCACTGGCTGCTTCTCACCTTCAAAAAATGTAATTCCTGTAATGGTCCCGCGAAAGAAAATTTTGCTTACCTGAGCAGCATTGGATGCTTTCACCTTCAAAACCACTTTGTCAAGCGATGCACTTTGGGAAACGATAGTGCCATTGCAGGAAATATTCTTGGAACTCCTTTACCGAAATAACTTACAGAATCGCATTTTCGAGTTAACAGACATCAGGAATATCAGTAAATCTTTGATATTTCAAAGCATTTTTATCCATACAAAATCAAAAAGTAGTCTCGTAAATTATGTTAATGGTCCATTATTTTAATGTATATCTTAGCCAGAAACTCACAAATTCTTAACACCTTATTCATAAATTCTCAGTGTTTCGCACTGTTTCCCTATTCCTCTATATAAATAAATGCAAATGTCAATGTGGCACATTTTTTCAACTTTACTCCTAGAGGCCGCAATCTAACATATCATACCATTTTAGAATCAGGCCGACACCATGAGCAAATTAAAATCATTCCGGGTCGGATCTGGACCCTGAAATTTATTTATTACTACGATTGCTTTTGGCGATTATTTACGGGATTTTTTGCGAAGAAATTTTTTGTACGATAGCAAGTTTTATAACTTGGAAACAAATTTGGGAATAACCGAAATTAACTGCGAAATCCAAAGAAAGTCACTCATGAAATAAAAATATATTTTGTACTGAAAGTAAGGACCTATGTAAGGACTGAATTCCCATCGACATAATGCCGATTGTCTTTAAATTAGGTGGTGGAAGAAGAATTATCGTTGAACTTTTAAATGGTAAGCTTAGATATAATTAAATGTGGTGATTAATTTTGAGTTCTTCTGTAGTTTATTGTTGCCAAATCACATACGGCAGCAGTATGCCTCGTAAAAAGAAATCTCCACCAAAAGAGGGCCACAGATTGCATTCAAAAGAGCCAAGGATGCAAAGAGGAAAAGGAAGTCCCGTGCATATGAAAACCCTAATCAAATGGCAGCTAGGAGAGCTTCCAATGCTGAGAACATGCTAAGACTTAGGTACTCTCTAAATCCTGAAAAACCGGCGGCCCAATCAAAGCTAGGTTAAATGCCGCCAGATAGGGTGGTTTTTAATCTAGTTCAATATTTTCGCTAGCTTTTAATCTAGCTTCAATATTTCTACTATTAGTCACACACTTTAACTTTGATTTGATCGTACTAAGGTTCCTTATATGTTTTCATTTACATTTTACAGTAAGGCCTGCGAGCCACTCAAGGTAGAGAGTTGCGTTAAGGGTTAGTTTATATAGATAGGAAGAGAAGATAACGGTTAACTCTAGACTTGAACAGGTTAATATTGTACTGATTTGGGAAACATCTTCTGGGGAATCTGTTCCACAGAGCAGTTGTTCGCAGGAAGAAGCTGTTTGAGTATAACTTACATCTAGCCGACGGAATACGGAGGGAATGTAGGTGGTTTGCTACTATTTAACTGGCATGGTGGGTCCTAACTGTGAAGTTTAGACCTCACGGAACCAAGGAATGCAGTTCGTCCGAGAACTTTTCATAGAAGTAGTGATAAAGCAATGAGAGACTCATCACATTTTCTCTGTGAGAGAGACGTTGGAGGTTGAAAAATAATCCAACAAGGATTTTGTTTGTGTTTTCTTCTGACCACAACTTGCATCATCTTTCACATTTTGCGCTTCCTTGAACCAACTATGCAACGTTCAATTTCTTTATAGCATGTTCAGTATAACCCATTTTTTCTGTAGCAGTTCCATTAATCTTAACATAAACTAGACCACAGTTCTAATTTCTTTTCACTCATTTGCTAACAAGATAACATGAAGATCTACAACTTGCTCTACAATGAATAAATCACCTGTATTTATGTCTTCAGAAAGCGGAAGTTGGAATATGTCAGAACGTGTTTGGGTAGAAATGATTGACTGAATGCCCAGCGACATACTGCGGTCATTACGGCAATTAAATTCACATCTCCTATCTTTCTTACACTTTTATTTTTGATTCTATCTCCTGTAATTTCATCTGTGTTTTTATTCTCATTTCTCTTTCAAATTAAATTTCGCCTTTCAAATATTTTATTCTTCTTTCTTAATTTCATTCTTCCCATCTAATTGTATCTCGTTCATTCTTTCTCCTTCACATTTTACACCATTCTCTACCGTCCGACTTAAATATTCAGACATGCTAACGTGTGAATGAGATCATAAATCGGGCAAATTTATTATGTTATATAAATATTGCAACACTTAGATAGTCCATACATTCTACAACCATCAGGTAAACAGTATAATTCAGAAATACAATTGAGGAACTGTTTATCATGGACGGCAATTTAACTGGTTTTGTCAAAGTCTCCACCATTCAGTTGAAGTCAAATGTACTAATGTCGCTACAGACTTTCTCATCCAATTTGACCGTGGCATATTTTATTTTTTTATCTAATATCAAAAGGTATACGTTTTATAAATTGAATAGAAGAAAACTCGTGTTTTTTGATTCATGTACCGTTCATCTTGTTTTAACTTTTTACGGTCAGCATAAAACGGAAATAGCAGCCGACATGATTCGAAGACTTATTCTCATATCCTTAGAAACAGGTTTAACATAGTAGATTAACAATCACAGGGAGCAGCAGCAGTAGCAGCAGCAGAATGAAGTATAAATCAGTTGAAAAAATTAATACATTATTAAACTATACTTTCTATCTTTTCTCCATTCAAAATATCCCATAGACGACACAACGATTAAAACCTGTTCTTTGTGGATTCCACTTGCACCAGCAAGAACTGTGCAAGAATCTAGGCCTTATTCTTGCAGAGATGTGAAATTCGCGACTCTATACCCAATAAAAAAGAAATAAAAACGAGTCAAAGCCATAGAAAAGAACTGTTAACCCTTCGTCAAAATGGCGTCAATGATGACGTAAATATGCATAAATTAATTTTCGCCACTAACGACAATAAAGAAAATTTTCTCAGCATCGGTACAAATTAGCTTTAAGTTGGGCCGAGGAAAAATTTTTATATATATATATATATATATATATATATATATATATATATATATATATATATATATATATATGAAGATGTCGTATGAAGTGGTTGTTTCATGTGAAGGGAATGTAATTATTGAGTAAGAACTGTAAGATATGCACAACTCCAACATTTTGATTACGTGCAGTAAACCGGTCTATATTAAGAAAAAATATAAACAAGTTAGACGAGACAGTATTTATATGCGTATGTACATGTTTGCGTATCTGACTGTCTGTATATATCTGAGTGTGCACGTATGTGTCTCTGTGTACGAACTGCAGAAAGCAATAATAATTATTGTGGATAGGTCTGATTATATAAACGAATAAAAAACAAAGGAGAGAGGAAGCGAGAAAAACGTGAAGACAAGAAAGGAAAAGACCGAAAAACAGACAAAAGACGAGAATAAAGAAGAAAGTTAAATCATAAATGTGTCCCATTCAGGTAGTATATAGAAATAGGGAGATATGGAGAATGAATGAGAGAAAAAGTGAGAGAGAGAGAGAGATAGAGAGAGAAAACTGAAAGGGCGAGAGAAAGTGAGAGAGAGAATGTGAGAGAGAAAATAAGTGAGAGAGAGAGACAAACTGAAAGGGGTGAGAGAGGGGAGAAAATGAAAGGGAGAGAGACAAACTGAAAGGACAAGAGAAAGTGAGAGAGAGAATAAGTGAGAGAGAGAAAGTGAGATAGCGAGAGAAACTGAAAGGGCAAGAGAAAGTGAGAGAGAATAAGTGAGAGAGAGACAAACTGAAAGGGCGAGAGAAAGTGAGAGAGAGAAAATGAGAGAGAGAGACAAAATGAAACAGCGAGAGAAAGTGAGAAAGAAAATAAATGAGAGAGAGAAACTGAAAGGAAAGAGAGAAAAGTGAAGAGAGAGAAAACTAAAGGGCGAGAGAAAAAGTGAGAGAAAAGAGACAAACAAACTGAAAGGGCAAGAGAAAGTGAGAGAGAATAAGTGAGAGAGAGAGAGAAAAACTGAAAGGCAAGAGAAAGTGAAAGAGAATAAGAGAGAGAGAGACAAACTGAAAGGGCGAGAGAAAGTGAAAGAGAGAATAAGTGAGAGAGAGAAAGTGAGAGAGAGAGACAAAATGAAAGGGCAAGAGAAAGTGAGAGAAAGATTAAGTGAGAGAGAGAGAGAGAAAACTGAAAGGGCGAGAGAAAGTGAGAGAGAATAAGTGAGAGAGAGAATAAGTGAGAGAGAGAGAGACAAACTGAAAGGGCGAGAGAAAGTGAGAGAGAGAAAAAGAGAGAGAGAGAAAATGAGAGAGAGAGAGAGAAACTGAAAGGGAGAGAGAAAGTGTGAGAGAGAGAAACTGAAAGGGCGAGAGAAAGTGAGAGAGAGAAAATGAGAGAGAGAAACTGAAAGGGCGAGAGAAAGTGAGAGAGAGAATAAGTGAGAAAGAGAAAGTGAGAGAGGGAGAGAAAGTGTGAGAAAATAAGAAAAAAAAATGACAGAAAAAATAGCGGAATGCTTTAGAAAGAAAGCGAAATCGATATTCATGAAAGTAGAAATAATTTTCATAATATCAAATCTTCTTTTATGTGCCATGCGTGTCGCTTCAGGACATAGGCGATCATAGTCCTCCACATTTTCCTGTTCTTGTAGCCCTTAATAGGTTTTCTCTTTTTGTTATTTCCCCAAACCCTTTTCTGTCATCCATTTGCTCAAGTCCATTAAGTATGTTAACCCCTGCTTTCCTTTGTCCTTCTTTCACTCTAGCTGTCCTGTAAGTATCAGATTTTCCAAACCATTCTCTTCAATTTCAACTGCCTCTTCTTGATGTTATATATAAGTTTCATTTTTGTTTCTCTCCAAAACTCGTTCTTGCTAACATGTTCAGTCCATGGTACCCTCAGTATCTTTCTCTAGAACCATATTTCTGTTGCTTCAAGTCTCTTCTTCAACTTTGAGAAGATTGTCCAGCATTCCCTGCCATACAGGATAGATATTCAGTACTCTTATCTTTGTTTCCAACGAAATTTGTCTGTCCCTTAATACTTTGCTTAGCTTTTCGAATGTATCTTTGACCATCCTAATACGTCTTCAGATCTCAGTGTCGCATATTCCGTCCTCCGTTAGAACACTTCCCAGATATTTAAATATCTGTACCTCCTTGATTTTAGTATCCCGGCCCCGTAATTTGCATTTTGGACATATATTTTTCTGATAACTATGTATTCTGTCTTAGTTCTTTCATCTTGCTTTTCTTCTCTGTCTCTTCTAGCATAAAAAAAGGAAAAAAAAATGACATAGATATAAATTCTTAAATCCTGTTTATGGCGCATTGTAATCATGAAAGATGCCTTCTAAAAGCTATACAAAGTATTAAGAAACAGGAAAAATTCGTTAGTAACCAAACTACCAGAAATAGTATATAAAACCAGTCCCCCTATATGGAACTGGATGCCGGAAAATTTCATCGCAGACAAAGAAGACTCTTGAGACAACAGAGATGTGTTTCTATTGAAGTATGCTAAGAAAACATTGGCCAACGTATAGTTTTAAAGGCAACAAAAACAGAAAAAAAACACTTTGAGTTCGAATCAGGGAGAGTTTTTATTTCTGTGACATATACCCTAATTCCCCATGTATAATACGCATTTTTTCTAAAAAAAAAAATTATAAGCAAAATCAGGGGTGCGTATTATGCATAGCTACAAATAATCTTTTAAAAATTGCTGTAAAATAAAATAAGAATTACTATAAAACTAAATTAGAATAATATTATTCTATGTTTAAAACCATTTTTTAAATAAGAGTAGGAAACGCTGGCTGTGATGAAATTCGAGAGGTACAATTTATAGGGTTTGATTACCAAAAAAGAAGTGCGTATTATGTATCAGTAGAAGCATTTACCCACACTTTCAGCACAATTTTAGGTGTTCGTATTATGGATGAAGGCGTATTACACATGGGGAATTACGATAATGAGGAAAGAGTTTTGGAGAATTTGACCCACTGGTGGCAAAGGTAGCTATGGGAAATAACCAACATTATGAGTTCGAGTAAATAGACATGGGCTGGTTAGAGAGGAAATAAATATTGTTTAGAGAGGTAGACGGCATTTTCTTAAATGTATGTCGACAATGTATCATTAGTACATGTTACAATAAAGGGAACAGACAGAAAATGTATTTAACTTACTTAACGTTTTCCTGCTTTCACATATATAAACGTAGATCAATGCTGAGTGTATGTAACCAATGACCAAAAATTATTGATGTAGCGCTTACGGCTATTTGTTTAACCATTATCAAGAATATAATTGATCTAAATATTTCTTATATGCGGAGACCACTGACCTATATATATATATATATATATATATATATATATATATATATATATATATATATAGGAATATTCTGTGAGTACAAATGTTGTTATTATTGACATTAAATCGAAAAGCAGAAGAAATTAACTTAAAGACTCAAATCGTAGAGAGGAAAAAAAGAAGAAAACAAATGATGGGTTATTTCCCTTCACTTTTTAGAACTTTATGGCCAACTGAAAAATTTCAGCTCAACGTATAAAATTGGAGAACACTAATAGATAGATAGATAGATAGATATATAGATAGATAGATAGATAGATTTTTTTTAAGCGTTTCACCCCAAGCAAGGCGAGAAGCCACTAGGACGCAAGGGGTTACAGAAAATTTGGAGCAAGATCAGATAGGAGTGATAGAAGAAAGGATGAGGAGAAGGGTAGTGGATAGATCAAGGCAACTGGAGATGTTGATTGACATTACATTTGAATAGCTGGAGATTTTAGCTCTCAGGGAAACTGGAATAGGGAAGGGAGTTCTACAGGCGAGAGGTGCGAGACATGAAGCTAATGGAGTAGAAGAGACGGCTACATTTAGGGACGCCAGCCTCGTAGATAGATAGATAGATAGATAGATAGATAGATAGATAGAAAGAAAATATTTGAGACATTAACGTTTATGGAACCATGATTTCTACCAAAATGGTTTCGCCAGGCAGTAAGTTCTTTCGAATAATTTATATTTTAATTTGCCCTACATTTTCGTTTTATGAAAACTGTATTGAACCGTTCATTTTGTTTATTTTGGTGAATATCACTATTTGGCAAAGATTGAATTTATAATTCAGTATATTTTTTTTGTTGTTTATAGATACTTTATTTCAATGTATTCATTTCGTTTTTTGCCTTTAAGAAAGTCCACATTAGACGAAACGCGTAGGTTAAAACTACAGATTTCCTTCTGTCTTTTTCCATTATACATATTGTCTTTTTCTGCGAAATTTTCACACACACACACACAATATATATATATATATATATATATATATATATATATATATATATATATATAGTCTGTTTCATGCATATATGCAATCGTCAGACCGTGGCCTGGCAATTGATTTCGGGATGTTCACTTTTATTTTATATCTCTGATATTGAGCACTTTATCCCATAAATATAGCACACCTTAAGACTATATTTCTTTATATATATATATATATATATATTTAATATATATATATATATGGTTTATAAATTCAATCATTAGAAGAAAATAGAAGAAAAAATGTATATTTATTATTAACACACACACATATATATATATATATTAAAAAATGTACATTTTTTTCTTCACCGTTAGCACAACGTCGACTTTCATACACAACGCAATCTTAAGTTGCTGGGCCAAAACTGACCGTTACCGAATTTAAATTTTGATATTGAACTGCACAATCGTAATGGCGGAGCACTCCATATTATTTACGAGGTTTGTGTTAATATATATATATATATATATATATATATATATATATATATATATATATATATATATATTCAAAATAAGTATAAATAATTGAAAAAACAAAATAATATACATATATTTAAAATCTATATGAAAGACGCAAAAAACACACACCCACACAACTTATATACTTTCAACTACAAAAATAGAAATTATTATTTAAATGCAAAAAATAACCCAAATATACATACAAACATCTTTGTATATCTAAATATGACGGTATTACGATATATATTTTTATATATCAACAATAGTATATATATTTTTATATATCAACAATAGTATTCGGGAAAATTCATTAGACAGTGGAAAAAGTTTACTTGTGACGTGTTTCGTCCTTCAGGATTTTATCGGATTAAATATGTTATGTTCGTAGGACTGCACATGTGCACGGCAAAGGGATGCTGGGAATTTTAGAATTATTTTTAAGCCGAATTTATTTAAAGCCTTTTTTTCTTTTTCTTTCTATCACTTTTGTAAAAAGGTATTCCATACTGTGATATTAGAAGATCTGCCAGGAATGGTGAAATGTTCTAAGAGCAAGGGCAAAAATTTATTGTGGATGACCTTGCGATTAAGGCACTGTCTAGAGATTTACGTAATAATATATTAGTACCTAAAATTATTTTATATTCAATTCGAAACAAAAGACCCACAAAATATTCCAAAACAAAAATAACGGCCCCTCCAGAAAAATCCAATGAATTAATTCTATTACATCTAAACTCAACATAAAAGTCGTTATTACTACATCCAAGTCAATAAAATAAAATTCAATACTAAACAAAACAATAAGTTAAAACCTGAAGAAGGCTTTTGTCCCATCGCCTGTAATATTTGTCGCAAAAAATACAGAAGTAAACCTCAAGGAATCTAAATAAAAGATCTTCTAATATGACAGTGTGGAATACCTACTTACAAAAGTGATGTAAAAAAAGGAAAAAAACCTTAAAACGAATTCGGCTGAAAAAAAATCTAAATTTCCCAGCACTCTTCTGCCGAGAGCGCATGCGTAGTCCTACCAGCATAACAAATTTACTCCGATGAAGTCCTGAAGGATGAAACGCGTCACATGTAAACGTTTTCCACTTTGTATTAATATCTACATATGTAATTATAAGAGTACGCCGTGGGGTAATGGATACCTGCTCAAATTGAGGAATCGGAGTTCAAATTCCAGTCAGGTTCGTTACATTCACTTCCGGGTAAATATCCTTGTGAAAGGCATGAATCCATCACTTCTTCCTCCTTAGCTATGGGTAAATGGCGGAACAGATTGGGTCTTGGTGATAACCGGTGCTGGAGAATGACAACACTGAATTCAAAACAGGGTCTTAGTGTACAGACCTAGGGCGACCCACATCATATACCGTGGTCTTCGGCTGTCGGCCAATAGCATAGAGAGGTGATGGGCACCACCGAAAGGATCATAAGAAAGAAGAAAAATATTTTTCTTCTGCACTCAGGTGTCCTCAACGATTGTAGCATTTGAGGAACTGATGATGATGATCAAAGGCAATCATAATTTTATATATATATATATATATATATATATATATATATATATATATATATATACATATCAAAGGCAAACAAAATTATATATATATATATATATATATTACGATAAACGTGCAATCAATTTACAAATATATGAATTATTCACACAAAACTAATGCAAAGGTTAATGATTTAAATGGCGAGACATCCATCATCGCAAACAATTCAAATAGTATACAAAAACCTCCAAATCCGTTATGAATGAATTGATCCTTGTTTATATAAATTTCTGCCGTATTAGTTGTTATTTTTACTACAAGCTTTCGTCTTTCCTACAGACATCTTCAGGTATAGAATAGATGTTGTTCTTGTTTTTTTCTCTTAGTAAACTTTAAAAATTTAAAATCAAACTCAGCGTTGCTTTGGCGCGTTCCAAAACCAATAACTCATTTTCAATAGCATTTTCGGATACAACAACACATATATTTTCGATGTCCTCTTATTACAAAGTATATTTCTTCATACATACATACATACATATATATATATATGTGTGTGTGTGCGTGTGCGCGTGTCAAAGACAAACAAAATTCAGCTCTAAAAGCCACACCTGTTTAAAGAGTTTAGGCTGCTGAGATATTATATGTCATATCCAGAATATTCAAATAGAAAACTGAACACGTCTTGCTCATAACTGAGAACAATTCCTTTTTGTGTAACGTGACACACTGACGATTATTTAATAAATTCTCAGCTATCACAGACCAGGCTCTACCAATTTAAGCAGTGTCACACTGAGTTATAATACGGGAAAATTCCTCATCCCATATGCTGGTAGTATTTGCTTGTTGAGCAGTAATGAAAATACAAAGATTGACTCATAAATAACAATGATGGATACTTTTAGACATTTTTTTAGCAAGACACGTGATGTCATGAACATTTCCCCAGTATACTGATAAAATATTGCATCGGAATTGACAGAATCATAGAGAACAAATAGGAAAGGTTTATAAATCTAAAATCTTTCACTTTTATTGTAGATTCATCAGAGAATGAGATATGACGAAAGATAGAAAGAAAAAATTCCGGTATTTTTGTTTTTGTATTGTTTGATTTTCATTGGCTCCACGTGCACATAAACTTGTTAAGCATTCTCTAATGAACCTATAATAGTGAAACATGATCTTTCTTCTTCTCTCTCTCTGTCTCTCTCACGCCCACACACAAATATATATATATATATATATATATATATAGGGTGTGAGAAACAAAAATAGACTTGTAACAACAAAAATGAGCTGAAGGCAAGAAATATGGCTGATTTATAGGAGTTTTCGAAGTCGTCTCGAGGCCATGGCGATTTCATAGAATAAACGTATTTAGTATTTCAAGATATTTTTGTGTAATTTTGGTAAATATATCTGTTAAAATGAGATGTCAGTGTTATTTTCATTTTTGCTTATTTTAGACAATTTACTCATCGCACCCACTCTGTGTGTGTGTGTGTGTGTGTGTGTGTGTGTGTGTGTGTGTGTGTGTGTGTGTGTGTGTGTGTGTGTGTGTGTGTAAAACCTCAAAAGTACAGAATGAAAGTGAAGTGTGGAGATTTTTTCATTCATCTCCCCTAACTTCATCAAGATCAGAGAAAGAGAGAATGTTTCAACGAGTAAGGCCTAGTTTCAAACGCTAAGAGACAACATTCAAAACAATGTCAGACAAGAGGCAAGAAGCCAGCAAGTGAAGGCAAGACTTTAATAAAGATTAAAATGTTTGACTACGTTTCCCGTTTTGACCTGACACTGATTAGTTGTTATCTTGCCAATTTTATCGACCTTTAAAAGTGAAATTCTTCTTTTTTTTTTATTCTGGGCACTCCATGAAGTTGGCATTGTCCAACAATATCTCTTGAGTATAGCCGCCGAGATTTCAAGTTTCAGCCTGAGTGCTGCTTCAGAGCGTATTCTTTTACTGTAATGTCGCTTGGAAGGAGAAAAACAAACTTGCTTTTTCCTTTAAGCATCAATTGAAGCTTCGCTTTTCGCTAACTTCTTCATGGCGTTAGAACGAAGCAAGGATCAAAGTGTCAAATGTGTCTTAAAGAAACAGTAAGAAAGAGAAAAGTTAAAGCCAACAAAGTAAAGAAAAATATCAAGAGGCAGATATTTGAAACCTAATCTCATTTACACGTTCCCTTTGCCTGGACGGGGTGTTGGACGAGAAGAAAAGAGATTTTGCAAATATGCAAGAAAAAGAATAAAATGCTTAAAGGGCAAAAGTAGTTTTATGTGGAAAAAAACAATAAACAATTTTTAAAAAATGGATAGAAAGGTAGGAATCAAATAAAAATATGTAAGAGATGCAATATATTTTTTGAAGGGAAAGGCGGATTTTGTGGACAAAAAAAATGATAAGTAGAAGAAAAGTATCGTCTGATTACTCTCCATTTCTCTCCATCGTATTTCTTTCCGCGGAGCTATTGAAGTACATAGAAAGGATGAAAGAGCGAATACGGTAAAGAATATATGCGGGAACTTCAGAAAATTCTAGATGCAATTTATCCATTGTACTCTAACATGTACAGAAAGAAAGAAAGAAAGAAAGAAAGAAAGAAAGAAAGAAAGATCTCAAATGAAGGGAAAAGAT